ACAAAACGGGGCACTTGTGAGTTGGATAAAACGGGATAGAGATTTTTATGTCCCATTTGATCCACCTATTTATTTGATGGATTATGACATTTTAAAATAGCCATATATTAATGTAGGCCTAGGCCTTTTGAACAACTTATTTATATTAGCTATATATAATTTTGAAAAATTTAGTCTCTTTATATAGTAATGCAAAATTTGTTTATTAACCGTTCATCATTAAGTATTTCATTTTCGACTCTAGGATTCCACATCTTTCTTTAGAACTAATTGTAATGTATTTTTCTGATGAAGACTTGAGCTTTTTTATATATAAACTTCTTAATTTTCTGGATTGCTCAATTCAATCGACATTCAATTCGAAAAGGAATTTCTTCTCTTTGTTTACTGAAGAATTTAAATACTTGATTATTAAAGAGTCTTTCAGGGATGTTGAGACATCAATGGAGAGTTAGTTTTAATAATTGTTTCAACACGGCTGGCAACTCTTGTAATAATCAATTGTAACATTCTAACTCTAGCTGTTTGCTAGGAAACCTGACGACTTTTTCTTGTTATAAATGTTTTGTATATCGTCTGTGTCAACGACTTTTTCATGTTATTAAATGTTTTGTATATCGTCTGCGTATGTCAGTGGAAATAAAAGAATACGATCACTGTAAAAGCTAACAAGGAATATTTTTTTATCAAACGATGATAGAACAATTATATGTTATTCATTAACTATTCAAGAGTTTAGCATGATTCTTTCTCGAAGATTTTAAAATAAACAGCTATATTTCAAGAACATTAAGAAAGTATGTTTTGCCCTATGCATTTTATTTGTAAAAACCCTTCTGAAACTAACTTTTAAATATAATTGCACATTAAAATTATGAAATAGTATGACAAATTTGTTTATAGTAAGTTCTAAAAAGAATTCTCGATACTTGATAGTTTTCATCTAGTAAAATTTTTATTGTTACAGAAAATAAAATGACACCCAAATATTCACTTCAACTAGAAACAGCTGGAATGAGACAAGCATGACTGAAGCTGTTTGCGCAGTGCTAGATGGAACTATGGGTTTCAGAAGAGCAGCCGACTCACATGGAGTTCCAAAATCTACGCTTGCAAGAAAGGTGAAAAAGGCTCGTACAAATACATTGATTCCTGAATTGGCAGCAGTGAAAAAGTTGGGCAGATATGAGACAGTATTCAATGCTGAACAAGAAAAAACGCTTGTTGGGCATGTTTTGGCTCTAGAAGAGAGACTATTTGGTATAACTTTAATGGACCTGCGAATGCCAGCGTTAGAGTTAGCTGAGAGAAACAATATTAAGCTTAATTTTAACACAGAGAAAAAAATGACTAGAAAGTGTTGGTTGTATTCATTTCTTGGAAGACATAAAGAACTTAGCCTCCGAAATCCAGAACCCACAAGTATGGCCTGAACAAAAGGATTTAATCGCACTGCAGTTAGTAGTTTTTTGAACTTTTGAATTCTCTTTTAAGTAAACATAAGATTACTCCAAATTATATTTACAATGTTGATGAAACAGGAATTCTTACAGTGCCAAACAAGCCTTCAAAAGTATTGAGTCTACGAGGTAAAAAGCAAGTGGGTAGCTTGTCTTCAGCCGAACGGGGAGTTTAGGTTACTGTTGAAACATGCATTAGTGCAGCTGGGATGCTTGTACCTCCTATGTTTCTATTTCGAGTGAAGGAAAACCCAAGACTCATGGATGATGCTTTTCCAGGATCGTTTGCAGTGTATCACAAGACTGGCTGGATCACCAAGACCTTCATTGTTTGGTTTAAAAAGTTTGTAGAATTTTCCAACCCTACCCATACGAAAAGTTTGGAACTCGCAAATTTGGCAAAAGAAAATAATATTATTATCCTAACCTTCCCCCCACATACAATCCATCGCCTTTAGCCCCTGGATGTCAGCTTCATGGTTCCACTGATGACGTATTCTGAACAAGAAGTTAGAAAGTGGCTGTTCAATCATCCAGGTAGGTGCGTGACAATTTATGAAGTTGCAAAACTGTTCAATGCAGCCTACTCACGGGCAGCTGTTGCAGAAACTGCCGTTAAAGGATTCAGCAAAACTGGAATAAGTCCCTTCCCAGATCACTTGTTTGCACCCTCTTTCACCACTGATCACCTAATGTCAGACCAGCAGCAAGATCTTCCAGGCGTTGGGCACCAGACTGATGTGGGAAAAGACCAAGAGCAACCTTCAGCATCTTTGAGGGACATCGGAGGAGAAGACCAATCTGCAACATTTTCAGGGGAGAATGGATTAGAACCCTCCTGTTATCCCCCTAAGCTACCCTTTTCAACCTCTCCAAAGTGTGTTCTACCTATACCTCAAGTAAAAGGACCTCGCCCAGAAAAAATGGCTGATTGAAAGAAAAAAACTGTAGTAATAACATCATCTCCATATAAAAGTGAATTAGAAATGGAAGAAAAGGAAAGGATGATTAAAGTACAAGAAAAAACCAAGAGAATCGAAGAAAAGGCTGCTACGAAGTCTCTCTTAAGAGCACAAGGCACATCTCGACAACGAAAATTGCGGAAATAAGTCTTCATGTTTGAAAACTCATAGTCTTTAAAAACAAATGTAGCATCATATTTTTTGTGTACTTACTTATAAAACAACAATCTATATAAAAGTGTTAGAACAGTAAAATCCCATGAATATAATTTATAGAAATTTTGTTTTGCAGTTCTCGGTCAGTTAATTATGCTTTTCACTTAGTTTTATGCAAAAAATTAAACATTGTAAACCCAATACCGTTTTATCCAACCCAGGTATGCTGAAACGGGATATGTAAGAGGGTGGAAATTAATTTTTTTTTCTATTTCACAGTCAATAAAATTAGTTTAAAATATGTTTTTTGTGTGCTTCAATAAATGTTGTAGCTACAAAAAATTTTTTATTGGTTTTCCTTAACACATACACCCAAGTAAATAAAAACCATAATGGTAACCCGTTTTGTCCAACTCTCCCCTAAGCTAAGAGAAACTTAAAACAAAATTACAAACAGTGAGCGGTTTAAAAATTCCTGTTTTCCTCCACTTTTCGATTTTTCATGTTACAATAACATATTATTAAAATATCGGAATACTAAATATCACGTACAATACATGGCGCCAACTGCCGAAAAACGACGTAATATTTTTGATGAAATATGCAAAAATAAATAGTATCAAAAGGTGATTATTTAAATGTGCGATTAGAAACTCATGTTTTGTAATAATATCATATGGTTAAATTAACAAATCGGAAATAATGGGAAAAATTCCTTTTATTTACAATCAAATCCGCACAAATAAAGTGCTTCCATAAGTAATTAATTAAATGCGTGATTTAAAATTCGTGATAAATAAAAAAATTATATAATTAATATATACTAATAAACAAGAAATAAATAATGAATTAAATTTCAAAAAATGTGGGAATGCATTTTAAAAACTGTTGAAAAAAATTATTGAAAAATAACGTAGATTTATGATGAAATTGGCAAAAACAAAGTGATTATTTATATGTGCGATTCTTAACTCCTGAGTCGTAATAAATTCGTACTGAAAATACGAGATTTTCAAAATCTAGTGCAAAAAGATAATAACTGCCTCTAAAAAAAAAAAAACATAAGATTTATGATGAAATTAGCAAAAATGAAGCACACCAAAAAGTGATAAATCAAATGCGCAATATATAACTCACGATTCGAAATATTGTAATAAATGTATCAGGATTTTTACAAAAACAAAGGAAATTGGTAGTTATAAATGCCAAGAAAACACTAGAAACATCACTTGAATTTTAATCAAAATTAGCAAAAATAAAGTTAGTAAAAAAATATGACTCAAATTCGAAAAATTTGCACATTGTAATATTGTATTAAAAATATTGGGTTTCTTAAAACCATACTGAATTTCATAGCAATAACCATTGAAAAAGCGATGGAGAAACAATATAGATTTACAAAAGAAACTGCGCAAATTGAGTGCATCAAAATTTTCAACTCAAAATTTGATTATTATTATTACAACAGTCAGCAGGCCCCAGGTTGTGCACCCCTACTTTAAAATATAGTCTGTTCAAATAAATTAGCATGTTTAAGGCAAGGTCAATTCAATCAATTAAGCACAAGTTTTTCAAAATGTTCAATTTTTGTTTCATGTTTCAGTAAAAGTTTTCAAATAGTTTTTAATATGTAATTACATGTTTTTAAATGAAAAAATCTGAAATTTGAAAAGAATTTGTTGAATTGTTCTAGAAATATAATTATTTAAAATGATGATTTTTTTTAAAAACTCATAATGCCAAAAATGTTCAGTTGATGTTGCTTAAATTTTGCATTTAATCATTTAAAATTATATGACTAAAAATATGAAAAGTTGTGTACCTGACAGAACAAAAAGTATTCCAACATTACGACTAAAATATTTTACACTAAGAAAAAATGGTTTTACATCTTAAAAAATTACAGACTGAAAAGCTTTTTTTTTACCTTGCAGAACCATAATACTGTAGGGAATCGATTATCCGGAACGATCGGGACCATCGCTATTCCGGATAACTGATTTTTCCGGTTTTCTGAATCGCTACAAAAAGCCGTTTTTTTATATTGTTAAACACAACTAAAAAAAATTTTTTTTTTGGAAATAATCTTAAAAAGAAGAAAAAACGACGGAGCAATACACTAATGATTATTTCCAAAATGATGGTAAGGTAAACATCTTTCAAAAAAGAACGAAAAATCCTAAAATTTTATAAGGAAAAAAAAATTGTGTTTTTATAATGGTGGGAAAATTTATCGAATTTCGTTCCGGTTTTTTGATTTCCGGATTACGGGTTCTGTACTGTACCAGGATAATTTAGGATCAGGAGAAGTGAATGAATTCTTTTTAGGTTTAAAATTATATAGAAAAAAATATGTGCCTTAATAGTTAAAGTTGCTTAATTTTGTAACATTTCCTGAAATATAATACTTTGAAACAATTACCTGGATGAAGCAGCATTCGATTCAGAAGTAGTTGACGGCATTGCTGAGGTATCAGATCTATTACTGTCATCTAATTCAGAAATGCTGAGATTTTCAGCCTCTGCAGAATCCAGCACTTCAGGTGACTTTGCAACAGAATGAATGTCATTTGAATAATGCTCAGTATTAATATCTGATGGTGAGCTAAAATCTTGAACATTTAGAGGATCGTCTTGAGTACTATTTATTAGTGGAGAGGAAGGATTTGATGAATCTGCCAAATTAATAAGTGGAATATGAGGCTCCTCTACAGATGATGTGTGCAATGAAGACCTATCTTCATTTGAGGAAACATTTAAATTAGGCTCTTGATCGGAAGAGTTCATAAAATTCAGTATTCTTCGAAGAGTTTCTGCATGGTAATCTGAGGAAAGAGGTTGTCTGGTTTCTCTTGATAGTTGTCTAGCTGCATCTGGATAAGTTTGCCTGAAATTGCTTCTTGCCTGTTCTAAATTTCCCAAATTAGGTTCCAAATTTATTAAGTCACAATCTTCAACACCACTGTTTGAAAAAGAAGATTTGATAACTCAGAAATTATTCAACTAAATTGTGCAAATTTTGTACTTAAGTTATTAAAATTACATTCTTTAAAATGATGTAAAAATTTGTATATCTTAGAATTCAAAATTTTCTACTATTATTAAACATAATAAAAAATTCATAAATAATTAAAAAATATGTAAAAAGTTGGCAACTATGTTATTATAGATATTACTAAAAAGCTAAAAAATTTATATTTAGTTTTTTGATGCCCACCAATAATTTTTTAACCACATCTAACATATAGAGATTAGTAAGTGAGGTAAGTCTGAACGGACCAGTTAGAAAAGAAACTTTTGATTTAACCAATCACTTACTATAAAAGAAATCAGAAATTGACCACACAGTAAGAAGAAGGATTTTTTTTCAATATTTTCCATATTTCCACCAAAAATTGGTTCTGCTTCAAATCATCAATGCAACTGTTCATTGCTACAATGATTTGAATAATATCTTATTGAAACCTCAGGAATCAACCAGGTCTTTGTCTTATAGAATTAACATGACTTTTAATAAAGTATATCCTAATTTAAATGATCCAGATGCAGTTGATACTGTGAAGTATACATATCTGATGGGAGCATCTCTTCCTCACGATAATAAAGGCATAATATTAAGGTCACAATTTTGAAGGAAAATATCAAAAATTATGAGAATGATGAACTGTGCTCAGTCTTCAAATGCAATTAGAAAAGAGCACAAAATAACAATATGAAATTCTAAAGCAATATTAAAAACTTTCTTTCTACACTACTGTTTCAGAGAAAAATATTTAATAAGTTTTCATAGCAACCAAAAATTAAAAATTTCATAAGCAAATCAGTACATGAAGTTGCAATGATACCTGAGCTAAATTAATGGGTTCTAAACTTTTTTTTTTAATGAAATCAAAAACAAAATCTACAATGCCATAAAAAAGTTAGTATTTTTTAATTAAATAATTTATAATTTTGATGTAGTAATCTGTTAACTAAATGAGCATCTTATTTAAAATTTAAAAATTATATTTAACAGAATTAAATTTGTTTATTAAGATAAATATATATATTTTATTTTATCTTAATAAACAAATTTAATTCTGTTAAATAAACTTTTTAATATATAGTTTTCACTATGGCAAGAAACTAACTAGTGAGGAAAGACATAACACTAGTGTTTTCAGTTAATATTATCCCCATATTCTTAATGAAACAGGTCTGTCAACAAAAGAAAACAGATTAATTTGAAAAGGTTAAAGATTTAGGATATGGGTCTTCTTACCCTCTTCTCCTGTAAACTTTAGTTTTTCCATATATATTTGATAGACAGGTCATTAGCTTGAGGCAATATCTTATTACTACTCGTTCTCATATTTCCAAGACAAAAAGTTTACTCTTACTTAAGGGGTCTAAACTTTAGAATGCTCTACAGATCATATTTTGAAGGTCAAAAATCTGAATGTCAGAAAAAGATGTATTTATTCAAAGAATATACATATTTATACCTGATCTCATAACTTAAAGTATCGTTTTCTTTAATTAATTAGCATATTTAAGGTAGGGCCCTCAAACCTTTAAGATTAAGTCCTAGTACATGAAAATCCAATCTTTTGAACAAAAGTTATTTAGGGTATTCACCTTTTTGTTTCACACATTGTACACACATTTTCACAATTTGCTCAAATTTAATTGTCATTCAAAATTGCATAATTTAAAATAAGATAAATTGCATACCCAACAGTTTCAAAAGTTTTTCAAAATTGCTAGCTTAAAAAGATTAATAGTGGGAAAAATTTGTTTACATCATAAAAAGATAACAGATCAAAAAGTTGGAATAGGTTAATCTACCAACAGGAGAAGTTAATGATTTTTTTTTTTTTTTACTTTAAAAAAAAAAGGGAGATAACATAAAAGTAACTTAATTTTAAAACAGTTCAAGAAATAAAACACTTAGAAAAAATACCTGGTTGAAGCAGCATTCAATTCAGAAGCAGTTGGTGGCATTGCAGTGGTATCAGATCTATTACTCTCATCTAATTCAGAAATGCTGAGATTTTCAGCTTCTGCAGAATCCAGCACTTCAGGTGACTTTGCAACTGAATCAATGTCATTTGAATAATGGTCAGTATTAATGCCTGATGGTGTGCTAAAATCTTGAACATTTAATGAATTATCCTGAGAACTATTCATTAGTGGAGAGGATGGATTTGATGAATCAGATAAATTAATAAGTGGAATACCAGGCTCCTCTGCAGATGATGCATGCAATGAAGGCCTACCTTCATTTGAAGAAGCATTAAAACTTGGTTCCTGATCTGATGAAACAAGGTCTATGGTTTCAATTGATTGTCGTCTGTGTGTATCTGGATACGTTTGTCTGAAATCAGCTCCTGTCTGTTCCAAATTAGGTTCCAAGTTTATTAAATCACAATCCTCAACGCCACTACTTGAAAAGGATCTTTCAGATTCTAAAATATATATATGCTTGATAAAAATTTCATGAATTAAATAAAAAGTACATATATTGACACAGAAAAAAGACCCATTTAAACATTAACAGGTAAAATACCGAAGAAAATTTAGATTAAAATTTTCGAAGTGGTGAATTTTGACAATTACAAATTATTAACGAGGTACTCCAGCTATTCTAATAATATTTTAATCAAACTGTTAGTTATTTTTCAATTAACATTAAATAATTATCTTTACTGAAAGCAGGCAATTTTTTTCAGTAGAATAATGTATATCAAATAGTACAAATATTTCTACTATTATTTTCTACTCTTATATTAGTTTGAAAAAATCACAGGAATTTGTTAAGACAATCAGGCAAACTTCTACAGTTTCTGTTTTATTGAATTTTAAGAAGATAAACAAGAACTTCACACTTCCTATAAGCAGAAAAATGAAGCAATAGAAAAACTAGTCAATTTTTTTTCAGCATCATTGCCCGCCTAACTTGCATTATTTTGGCCTAAAAATATAGTTTTCCAGTGTGATTGGACTTTTTATCTTTATAGATTGTAAAGATTTTTATCTTAATAGTTCGATGCCCGGCGGCTGAGCTGTAACGCTTCGTGCTGTCGTGCCACAGGTCCCTGGTTCGATCCTCGGGCCGGGCAAGGTTGACTCAGCCTTTCATCCCTTCAGTGGGCCGATAAATGAGCACCAAGCATGCTTGGGAACTAAGCACTGGGGGTTCTGCGTTTGGCTGACCACCTGACCGGAACATCTGCTCCTGCACCCTAGAGCCCAAGGTTAAGAAATCTGAGATGAGCAAAGTCGGGAGCTGTCGCTCCCTCTAGGAGCTGTCGCGCCACTGAGTTTAGTTTAGTTCAGTTTGTAAATTCAAAAATATGCTTGTCGAAAAAATGATTTTCTAAAGGTAAGCAACATAAGAAATTCACAAGGTAAAGGTAAGCACATTAAATTGCAAATCTAGAATATCTAGTTTACAAGTTAATTAAAATTACTTTTTCCATAAATAGGAAATGGAAACAAGCACCAATAACTGTTTAAACAATGTTTTAAAGATTTTTTTTTTATAGTCAACAGATAAAAATAAAGATGCACGAATGAAATATCAGGAAAGTATCAATGTAAAATTTTGATAATTATAACTTTGGAGACCTGACTACGACAATTCAACTCTGCCAGTCTGGTATCCCATAGCAACGAGGAACACAAAAATTAACGTTTTCTTTTCTTGATTATTCTTGTAATTTTGTATATATACCAATATCAGCGATCCGCTTTTGTTAGCCTCATTGCTTGCTCAACAATACTTTATTGTTCAAAACTGTTTATTATATAAATTTTATCAAAAGCAATTTGTTTTAAAATTAAATTTGTCATAATTGATCTACACCAAGCAGTATTTTAATTGGCAACTTTTTTATCATATAAAATGTAAAGAAAATTTTTATTAATTTATTTGCTGAAATCGAAACATATTTTTGTTTTAATTTGAATTTTTCAATTTGTTGCTTCTCAAACACATACTATTATAGTTCATCAAAAATAAATAAATATACAATACTTAATTTATTTTTACATCATTCCCTGAATGTCATGATAAACTAAAACTTTACTATAAACTGATACCACAGGAAGTTATACATAAAAGTTTTGAGTGCTTAAAATAGTTCTGTCAAGTCTTTCACAAAATGATGTACAATATTTTTTAGCGAACAGGCTTCAGCGCTAACGAAAAAGTTTTTTTTCCCCTACATGCGGTGCTTGGGACAAGTACTCTTTTACTCTTTTTCTTTTGGGACAAGTACTCTTTTTACTCGTCCCAAAATAAAAAACGGACCACCCTAAGTAACTTTTGATCCAATGATCGGATCTACATGTTCTAGGCATAAACCTTAATAGTTCGAGGGGGTGATCTCATATATGCTAATTAATCAATGTAGACGATATTTTAAGATACACATTCAGACACAAAAACATACTTTCTCTGAATAAACATACCTCTTTCCAAAGGATTCGGATTTCTCAATCCCAAAATATATAGGGTAGCGAAGTCTAGGAAATTTGGTTCAAATAGTTTGGTAAGGAGAGCGGCAATAGTTTGAAACCCTTAATGGTAATTTTACTTTATGCATATTTCGCCATGTCTCAATAACTATTTCAGAAAAATAAAAACTTTTTGCAGAAAAATTTAAAATTAGTTTATTTAAAAATAATTTCAAGCAAATAATAACTTTCAGCAAATAGTTATTTACTATTTTATTTAATAATGGTTGAAAAATGTCTGAATCATAAGGTATAAAATTTTTTTAAATAATTGTAAAGACATTTTACATGACAAAATACAAAATTTCAACAAAATCAGTCGAATTCCTGAGAAATCAAATTTTAAAGATGTGATTTTAAAAAAATTCAATTTCTTAGTAACCATTTGACCAATTTCTCTGTAATTTCGTATTTTAATGTGTAAAATTACACACTGTAAAAAATTGTAAACCTTACACTTCAAAAAGAACTATTTTTAAATAAAATAATAAATACTTATTAAAAGTTATTAATTGCATGATATTATCTTTGGATGAATAAATTTTATTATTAAGTACAAAATTTTTTCAATTCGCTTAAAAAGTTCTAGAGATATGGCAAAATACTCATAAAATAAAATTAACATTCTGGGGTCTAAATTTCAGACTGCTCTCCTGACCAAACTATTAGGATCATATTTCCCTGATTGTGGCTACACTCTATATTTGAAATATCCGGGGTGAAAATATTGAATCCCTTAAAAAAAAGTATGTTTATTCAGAGAAAGTATGATTTTACACCTGAAATCTTAACTGAAAATACTGTCTGCACTAAATAATGAGCATATTTGAGGTCACCCCCTTGAACCATTAAGATTGTAGATCCGACCATTAGATCAAAAGTTATTCAGGGTGGTCCATTCTTTATTTTGGGCACTGTACCTCTCCTTAGGAACTGGTCTCTTCTCTCTTTTTAAATTGAGTCATAATGTATTATTTCCATTTCATGAGCAAGAATTCCTCCTCTTATTATTTCACTAAATTGTAAAAGTGAAACTCAATTCCTTTTGCTCATTCCTTTTTGTGAATTCTTTTAGTACATGTTTTGTTATTTATTTTTCCAGTTAATATGGGTTATTTTACTATTTTTCCTGCCCTGATTCCTCTTCTTTTTTGTTGATTATTAATTCATCTATTAAATTGATCTCTGAAAAAATAAACGGGCCAAAGAAATTAGCAATAGAATTTGAAATGATCAAACATTGCATTTATCAATGGAAGAAATAAAAACTAACGATAGAAAACATGTTTAGAAATAAAAGGGTCAAGAGAAGGGGCTCTACCAAATGGCCTGAACTTGAACCAAAAATTGAAGGAGTGGGAGCTAAATAAAGAGAGAAAGGCATACAGTTTCAATTATAAGGATGATGTGTGTCAGATTAATTACCCAGAATATGGATACTGTTATTTACAGTATAGTCTTCACAAAGTTTTCACTCCACAAAGAGGCAAAATCTCTAGATTAGATCAAGGACAACAGTGTGGCAACAATTGCCCATTGAATGGGAATTAAAAATGACCAAAATTTAGATTATGCACACAATACTGTGAGGGAGTCTTAACCTCACAAATAATCAATTGATTAACATAGATGAAGTGCCCCTCATTTACTTGCTTTTGACTATCTACTAGCCCGAACTGTTAAACAGGTTGGGGGGGGACCATATCAACAGAAACTAGAGAAAATGAAAAATTTTGTTTCACCTGTATGTTGGCATCAGGGTTGGCTGGTTTAACTAATTTGATTTAAACCAAACTGGTTTTACAAAAAAATGACTTAATGACTTTTCAATTATTGACATGAATAAATGTAGTTAAATATAACCGAACAGAAAATATTAAATTTTCCCATAAAAATCTTTTTAATCTAGAGTTGAGATTCTGACTTTAAATGAATAAATGTGATAAATAATTTTTTAAAAGTTTAGATAATTTAGCTGTTCTGGTAAAATATAATCATAAAATAATTAATTTGAGTAAATTAAAACTCAAGTCATGTCTCTAAAAATTGTGTAAATTATACAGACCATCAACATTTTCATATTCAGATAATTTTTAAAATTATCAACAACAAAAAATGCAATCATACAAGTTAAGAGCAAAAGTTTCACATTTGACTGTAGCAACCATAAATATATTATACTTGCTACAATAAAAAAAAGCATAGATGGGAATGAGAAGCTTTTCTGAATTTTATATTTTATTGACAGTTTATTTTTCGATTTTTTTTTCTGTTATCAGCATAAACAAATTATTAATACATGGATGCAGCCTGTTAATTGAATTTAATATTTTTTAAATACAATGCTTATATAAAAGAGCATGATTAAAAAATATTGAAAAATATTCAACCTTTCTTTTGAATAATCCCAAGAAACTGAAGCGGTAGGATAATACCTGATTACAAACTTCATTAGCTTCAAAAATATATAAATAACAATCAACTGTTTGAAACATGTTAACTGCTATTTCTTATTTATATATTTTTGAAGCGAAAGAAGCTTTCGTCAGGTATGTTTTATTCCTTATTTACCATTAAATCATTAGTAATAAAACATACCTTTACTATTTTATGCACAGATATGTATCCAGCTAATTTGATGTTTTTAGTCCCTTTGTTCATTTCAATATCTTGAAATATTTTTGAATTGAAAAATATGTTATTTTAAATTTATCATGCTGTCCTTGAAGTTTGTGTTTATACGAATTGGGGAAAAACATGATCCTTTTAACATGATCATTGCATATGCCATCAGACACAAAAGTTTTGTGATATGATTTAAGTAAGGAAAAGTTCTTATTTATTTTAATTTTAGAAATTTCAAACTCATTCTACTGCATTTGTACCAAGAACTTATGTTCCAAACAGTTGTGTAAGTTTTTGTATTTAAAGATGGTAAAATTTTGTAAAATATTAAATGGACAAGCTAAACTTGCTTGATAAAATATTGTCAAAAACTTGTTTCTTAAAATATTAAATGCACAACAGAAGCATGTTAAAAGAAAAAAATTTAATGAGTTAGTTGATAATTTAAATAAAAAAATATAATGATAATTATAATAATTTGTTAAAATGATTGAATTTCTTCTTACCACCAAACATGTTAGTTTCTACTGTAAAGGTAGAGCGACGCAAACCAAAAACTGATGAGTTTACATCAGTAGCACCATCATTAACTGAACCAGCCATAGTTGTGATACTACCAAATGTTCTATCAACTGCATTTGAAGGTGAACTTATCCAGCCTCTAATTTAGAACAAAAGGGTGATAAGTATATTGATGATACACTTTTATATTTTAGCAACATATACACGCTTTGATTTACAGTAGGGAACCGATTATCCGGAACGATCGAGACCATCGCTATTCCGGATAACTGATTTTTCCGGTTTTCTGAATTGCTACAAAAAGCCGTTTTTTTATTGTTAAACCCAACTAAAAAAAAAAATTTGGACATAATCTTAAAAAGAAAGAAAAAAAAGAAAAATCCTAAAATCTTATGAGGAAAAAAAAAATTTTTAAATGGCGGGAAAATTTATTGAATTTCGTTCCGGTTTTTTGATTTCCGGATAACGGGTTCTGTACTGTATATACAAAAATTTGACAAAAAAGGTGCGACTTTCAAACTTATAAGCCATGTGATTATAAATTCCGATGATTAATTCTAAAATTGTATGAATATATGAATATGAATCACATGCATGATTTCAAATTGAGAGAATATGAATCTCGATATGAGGCTTTTAAATCACGTGAATATGAAACTCTATATTGAATTTTAAAAAATGCGAAAATACAAATCATGAAGCGTAATTTTTAGATCACATAAATAGGAATCACGATGCATAATTTTTAAATCGCGCGAATACAAATCACAATGTCTAATTTTTAAAGCACATGTAAATACGAAAATCGATGTTTGATATTAAAACCGCACAAACGAATCACGACATTGGATTTTAAACTGGCGTGAATACGAACCGCTACATAGGGTTTCAAAAGCACGTAAATACAAATCGCGATGTTCGATATTTAAGTCGCCTGAATAAGAATCGCAATGCGCAACTTTTAAATCAGGGAAATACGAAAATCGATGATTAACATTAAAATCGCGTGGATAAGAATCGAGATATTCGCGGATTCTGGACTTGGGATTTCTAAAAGGCTTGTTTGTATTGTTTTTGTTTAGACATAATAAATAAACATTTACAAGATTAATTGAATATTCAAATAAATATTTTCACCGCAAATCCACCTCTATTTTTTTTTAATCGTTTGCTTTCACCCTAGACAACAGGGTCAATTGTTTGAATTGCGAAAATACAAGCTGTCGGGCGGACGAATAAAAATACGAAAAATCTTATTTTCTGTGCGTAAAAGCGGAGAAAATAGCTAAAATAAGTAAAAATACGGAAGGGTTAGCAGCTAGGACAATGTTTGAATTTTCTGCTTACCTTTGAAAATCGTAAATAAATATAATTATTTTATTTCAACGTCTGAATTCAAAAAAAAAAAAAAAAAAAAAAAAAAAAAAAAAAAAAAAAAAAAAAAAAAANAGAGAATCGGAATTTTTGATAAAAAAGGCTGAAATTCGAAAGGCAAAAGCGAAAAAATCTCATCCCTGTATAAAGGTAAACCGGTTTTTTCCAAGGAAATGATTTTTAGAGAAGCTTCAGAGGGAGGAATGAGGACTTCAATACTTTCGCTCCGTGGAAAATAAAATTCTTCATAAAATATTTTAACTTGTTCCAGGAAATTAGCGGGGGAAATCTGAAAAAAAGCGGAAATCCGCGAATCCGCGGAAGAATCACATCCCTGTAATACTGAATATGAGAGAAACTGGCTCCATTTGGGACTAATCTAAAATGAATGAATCCGGTGAAACAGATTAGTTTTTTTTTTCTTCTAAATGATAACAGAGAGAGAACACTCATTTAAATTGATCCAGCAATAAACTTTCTTCAATGGTGTTGCCATCTAGTGTTAAATCTATACTATTAAGTAATTTTCCTTTAAAAGCATTTCCGAGAATAAACCAAGTTTTGAAAAAGTAATTCATACTAATTGAAGTTGCTTGTTTCATGCATTAAAGTACCTGATAATTTATCTGAGAATCAGATTCAAATCTACCTCCAGCATAAGCTAATAAAATATGATCCAATTAGAGAATATGCATTATAAATTTTTGGCTACTACAAATTTGTCAGCAGTCAACAAATCCTGAATTAATTTGTGTTGATATTTAAAAGAATTAATCACTATGAAATAATGTATGTATATGCTCGGAACATCCCAAATTTTCTGCATCATTTTATCTGCTTATAACCCTATGTAAGTTGTCTTCCCTATTTTTCTTTGCATTAGATCTGCCAGATTTCCTAAATACAGTGATTTGTGAAAATATAAAGTTACTGCTTCATCAAGTATGACCTGTGTTGAATGATTATTTGGTTTTTGTAATGACAGATATGAATTTTGAGATATGAATAAAAAAATATTGAAATGCAAAGCAAAAGATGTACTTAAAGTAATTTTTTCAACCTAAAAAGTGTTTAAAAATTTTACTATTTTTTTAATGCTTTATTGCAGTATTGTTTACTGTAATAATTTAATAAATAAGAGCTGTTGCATCCAATTCTTTTGAATTATGCAGGAAAAAGTACAATTATTCCTAATATTTTATTTTCAATGACATTTACTATAACCAATCAAAACGAATTAGCATTGTAATATAAGAAATGTTATTACTAATTGTTCTTACTTTTGTCCAATTCTAAAGATACTTAAAAAGTAAACAAGTTCCTTAAAAAATAATTTAATATACAGTAGGGAACCGACTATCCGGAATGGTCGGGACCATTGCTATTCCGGAAAACTGATTTTTCCGGTTTTCTGAATCGCTACAAAAAGCCGTTTTTTTATAGTTAAACCAAACTAAAAAAAAAAAAAATTATTTTGAAATAATCTTAAAAATAAGACAAAACAATGAAGTAATACACTAATGATTATTTCCAAAATGATGGAAAGGTAAACATCTTTAAAAAAAGAAAGAAAAATCGTAAAATCCCATGAGGAAAAAAAAAAAATTTTTTTTTAAGAATGGCGAGAAAATTTATTGAATTTCGCTCCGATTTTTTGGTTTTCTGATTTCCAGATAAAGGGTTCTGTACTGTATAATAAAAATTCCCAATTATGAAAAATTGACGCCCGGTGGCTGAGCGGTAGCGCTTCGCGCTGTCGTGCCACAGGTCCCTGGTTCGATACTCGGGACAGGCAAGGTTGACTCAGCCTTTCATCCCTTCAGTGGGTCGATAAACGAGTGCCAAGCATGCTTGGGAACTGAACACGAGGGGTTCCGCGTTCGGCTGACCACCTGACCGGAACATCTGCTGCTGCACCCCAGAGCCCAAGGTCAAGAAAACTGAGATGGGCACAGTAGGCCTTGGCCCTCTACGAGCCGTCGCGCCACTGAGTTTAGTTTAGTTATGAAAAATTAACCATGTAGTAGTTAATCAAATAAATTAAAATGCAATTAACAAAGGCCACTTCAACTAAAATTTTATACTTCTGATATAGGTTAGTGGCAGTAAATGTGAAGTCTACATAACCAATTTTCATAATTATTGGGTGCAATTGACTACTTTTTAATTGAATAATTTCACAGGGTGCTTAGCCAAATTTTTTAACAAAAAATAAGCACCTCTTTTATTGCTTTTCCAGCACTCAAAAAGCACTTTAAAAAATATCATAATTAGGATATGCATACTAATAAAACTTTTTTCTTCTTATTGCTGAAAGTTTTTCACATATACATTAACAAAATGCAAAATAATTTTCTAAGATTTTACATAATCTTGATAAAATAACTAGTTTGACAAAGAACTCTTTTCTTGATTATATTAGCCACCATAAAAACAATTTATACAAAATTTTGCTACTTTTCCATTATACCGGAGCAGGCGATAAAGCCGCCAATAATGATGCAACCAAAGCCAAACAGATTATCGTTTCTGGTAACCTTTTGTCTCCACATTTTCAAAGCAAGTCTCTGCCATTTCCCCCCCCCCCATAAGTCACATCTTTTTCTTAATATGAAAAATTTATGCAAGACGCAATGAAAATTTGGGATTTGCCTAAAACGGAGAAAGAAGCAGTCAGATTGTTTCAAGATGAAGGTGTTTTGACAGAAATCGCGATTTGTGACAAGAATCATGAAATGAAATTATAAATCAAAGATGAAATTCAATGGTGCTGCAACCTTTCATCTTGTCCACTGTAAAAGAAGTATCCGTAAAGGCACATGGTTTCAAGTCATCGAAATTGAGCTTTTTGAAGAGTTTATTTATTGTTAGAGTGAAGAATTAACTTCAGTTAATTGGTGTGAAAAGCGATTGGAAATCAGACACGAATAGTTGTAAACTGGAATAACTTCATGCATGAGGTTTCTGTGAATTCTTTGCTTGCTAAAATCCTGAATATTATATTTTTAAACTTCTCGGAAATGTAGTAAAAGAGGTATACAAATTAACTGTCGCAAACAAATTAATATTAAGTAAGAACGAAACAAAAATGATATCGAAATATGCTGAATCACTAATGAGACCGGGATGAAAGACATTGAAACCTATTTGATTGAATCGTATAACTAGAAGGTGTTTCTAAAATTCTGAAATCTATCAGGCTTCAATTTTTTTTTCTGTCACAGTAATTAAAAATAATAGATTCGTTAGATTTTAATATTGGTTCTGTTTTTCTGTTGATTAAATGTTAAACATTAACAGATATTTGTCTTTTAAAACATTTCATTCTTTAATAAGATACTTATTCTGCAATTGTAATTATCTAAAACTAATTGCTAATTGATATAAAGCTTTAGTGTGTTCCATTGATATGTCGAATGCTTGTTTTGGCTGGATGCCCGGGACTGTTGCTCTTTCACATCCAATCACATTAACAATTTTTTTTCCTGCACTAAAATTTAACAAATGTACTTAAAATAATTTTAAAAAAAGCAAAAATAGTGAAGAAATATTTTCAATATAAACATCAATTAAATATTATCAGCTTACGAAATGTTCCTTTTATTTTTTCAAACAGCATTAATATAACGGCCCTCACCTGGTCCAGGTACTGCCGGATTGGGTTCAAAATTACAAGGCTACGGAGTTGAATATTAGTAGTCATAAACTCGAAATTGGGCAGGCTGTGCAATGACTGTTATAAAATAAACTAATAAATTTGGCCTGGATAGCATGGTTGATAGGGGGTAAACCCAAAATTGAGTCGGTTGTTCAACGGCGGTTATAAAAAAAATAAAACTAATAATCAAATTGTAATTTCTTGTTTCCTTTCTAACTCTACATATTTTCTACGCACATTCAAAATTTCATGTTTCTAAGTCTTATAGATTTTGTAACGTAAAGAAAAATTTGCAAAAAAATTATTAAAAATTGCAATCAAAATATATTCAAAATGAATCTAAAAAAGAAAACACTCTGTTAAATATATAGTGGCCCAGCACGCCAAATTTTTACTCTGTGCTTAAAAGGTGTTTCTTTTGTAACTTTTTCCCCTCGTTCAAAAGATATATGTGCAATAAAAGAAAGGTTCTACCAAATAGTCTCATCACAATTAATATATTTAACAATAAAGTAATATTAATAAATTTTTTAATAATATAATGTTAATACTCAACAATAAAAAATAGTGACAGTTTACTTTAGGTGTATAGAAATGGAATTCAACTTATAAGGGCCCCATCATTTTCAGTAGCTTAGGGCCCCACTAAGCTTAAATCCGGCCCTGCCTACACTCAACAATTGTTCATATGGCAGAAAAGGAAAGAGACTTTGTTCTCTTATGGATAGTGGTCTCCAGAAAGTGATTCCAAGAAAGGATTGGGGAGTGTGGAGGGAGGAGAAAATTCCAGGTGTGCTGACCATTCCTTGGAGTAACATTAAACATGAAAAAATAAATAAAAAGCACAAGTAATAGGTGGAAAGAATGATGATAAAATTTCTAGTGGGGTTTCCAAAAAGCAAAACTTTTAAGAAAAAAAATCATACTACATAGGCCGCCCCGTTAGATATGCCTTTCTACTAAACTTTCAAGTTTTAAATCAATAACGCCACGGCCTATCTCCGCGAAATTACGGTATATCATATTCTGATTCATAGAAATTATACTGACTAGTAAGCTGGAAGATTAAAGTTTCCGACATTTCAAAGTGAACCATAAGTACAACTTAATCGATCCGGAAACTGGAACGCATAAGCAAAAAATAGTGACTGTGGGACAGTGCCAAATGGCAAAATAAAGAACAAAGAGGAACGGCATGCCATCATCTCGAAAATTATCTTGCGGAATTTATGTGGAGAAGGCAAACGGAGGAACCATTTGAAAAAAGTTTAAGTGATATTAAAATTTTTATGCCACCAAAGTAAAAAAATATTTGAACCATTTAGTTACTGTTTTTCTTTATGTGTGTGTTGTGATCAATAAAGTCTGTTTCGTGTGATTTGTACCAGCGACTGAGTGCTGTCGCCAAAAAGTATTCTTGCCGGTATAATGGAGAAGTACCAAAATTTTAAATATATTCAATATTGAGTGGCTTATTTCAAATTAACACTTTATTTAATTAGGTAAAAAAAATTTCTTTGAAATTATAATTTATTTAATTGGTTAAAAGGTTATAGAGTATTTATTAGATTTAAATAAAAGTTATTTATAAAAGCATATTCAACAATACATTAACTAGATTAAAATTTTTGATTGTATCAAATTTATAAAGGAATGTAAAGAATTAAGCAAAATAAGAAGTCTTTAAAATTCATAATACAAATATAAAATAGTCAACGGCCCCGAATAAATTTTTAACAGAAATTTTTACTTGGTTCAGTTTTTCTTTAATGAATTGATTAAAAGATTTTTATTAATTTTGAAATGTAAATGCAATGAGTATTGAAGCTCAACATTTTTGTCAAAAGTAAATTATTATATGGCTCCACTTGTTGCTGCATTTAAAATAGTGAAGGCCCCTCACTTCATACTTTAAAATCTTGCTTCTCAATATCATTGAGTTTCTTCACAAAACAAATTAAGAGCAATAAAAATATTTGAAATAATATAAAATAAAAAAAAAGTAATAAAGTAAAAAAAAATTCAAATATATACGACCCTCAGGTAAAAAATCAAACGATTAAAAATCTTAAATAATTCATATCTTTATTAAATTAAATTTTTAGATGGAATATGAAAATTTTAAGGTGATGAAGCTTAGTGATAATTGACTGCTCTGAGGACCTACTAAATGGATTGTGGTTGAATGAATTGTGAAACAGTTGATTAGGACAATGTGAAAACTATGCTCCTTGCATTATTTGTGGTAAAAACAGACATGGTAAAGAAAAAATTTCAATTTTGAAAGAGAAAATTAAGCATTTTTTAAAAACACCCAATGATATATCACCATTAAGGGCCTTTTTTAAAAACGATACGCACCCTGCTTTAATTGATTAAATAAAAAACTGAACACAGTCTTTTGACATTCCAAATCCTTCAGCTGAAAAAATTGGAAAAAGCTGAGATTAGCACTCAGATGGTTAAAAGGTTAAATTTGTTAAAAGACTTAATTGTTCAAAGTCATAAAATTACCTAGCTGGCCGTTTCAAACATTTGCTTTTTTAAAACATGGATCCGTGTGAATTGTGCAGTTAAACATTTGGGTTATACTACACAGATATTTACAAATCTTACACCATATTAAGCAAAAAAATCTCAATTCCTGTTCATCCAATTAAAAAAAAGCACAGTAATTTTTTACCATAAAATTAGGAATAACATATTGAAATTAAAATCTGTGTAATTATGAAATCACAACTCTTGCTCAAACAATACAATTCCTTGATCATTTTTTCTCTGATTTTCAATTTAGTCATCCATTTTCCCTACTGCTTCTGCTTTCTCCTAACTTTATTTACCTTGTTTCTAGAAAATCAAATCTCCTTTTCCTTTAAATCACCTTAACACCTTTAGATTACAGAAATGTTATAAATTGGATTATACTAGACAATACTAGACAAGATTAAGATATAATGCTTATTAGGTAAATATTTAAGATAAGAAAATAGGAAAAGAATAACTCACTCTGAGGGTATGGGTACATCATTTGATGTTGATTCAAAATCAAAATGGTGTAAACGGGGTGGGCCTAAAAATTTAAAAATAAAATACTATATAAACTGTTTAAATAAAAATTCTATAACCATTAAAAATTACTGAAAAAGATATTACTCAGAAGCAAATCTTATAAAGAAGTTTACAAAAGTGTAAAATAATAATCCACAAAACTGAAAAGACTTAAAAAAATTAATTAGTAAATGTCATGTCACATTTTAAAAAGTATATATAAATTTTCTACAGTGATTCAAACGCTCTAAAGATTACACAGGCCTGCGATGAAAAAATACAAGAGGTCTGACAGCTGAACTTAATATATTTTTTTATGCTGAAATGGAAAATAATAATGAAAAATGTCCATCACGTCACGTTTTTTTAGAAAAATTCGATTTTACTGGAATTTTTATGAACTTTAACCATAAAAAAAATTTCGTTTTTGAATTTCTTCCCTTCTTGACTGACGAGCATTCTACTTTGGTCAAATCTACAAAAGTACCCCTCTATCACTACTTCCAGTCACCATCCCTCTCTCTGTAACAACCTCTCTCTACCAATAGCGTCACGAGAATCCTTATCTAGGTCCGCTGACCTCTCAGAAACACTAGCAAGCGTATTAGGGAGTCATTTTAAAGTTTGCTTTTTTCTGTACGTTTCGTGAAACATGGCTTAGAGTTCAAGACATTGTGAAAATTTCCCACATGACTTTCATATGCGGTGAATATAGCGTTGTTAAAAATCGCATGAGGAGTATTACAGACTATATAAGACAACTTTATCTCAGATATTTTGACATGAAGCTCGGAGATCAGGACAAATCTTGGGCGCCTCATAAAGTTTGTGTGCAGTGTCTCACTGATCTACGCTTATGGCATCAAGGAAAGATGACTGCTTTACAATTTGGAATTCCTATGACGTGATGAGAGTCCCGAAACCACTGTGATGATTGTTATTTTTGTTCCTGCCCTGTTCGTGGGTATAACCGGAAAAATCAGACTAATATCTTATCCTGATAGCATTCCATCGGCCATACGCCCCGTTCCTTATGGATCTGATATGCCTGTGCCTTTGCCTCCAACTGAATTACCAATCAGAGTCTTCAGTCTCGGAAAATCCAGAAGTTCAAGGCTCCGATATCGAATATAAACCATCTGTAGCCGGTTTACCTCAGCCCTCCTCTCAGGTTGAGCTTAATAATCTGACTAGAGATCTTGGCCTTTCGAAGGAGGCAGCTGAATTGTTAGGCTCCAGACTGAAAGAAAAAAACTTATTGACCAGAGGAACATCTTTTTATTGGTACAGGAATCGTGAAAAGGAATTTATTAAGTATTTTGATGAAGAGAACTTGGTCTATTGTTCTGATGTTCCTGGATTGATGAGCAAATTTAATGTCATCTACAATAAAGATGAGTGGAGGATGTTTATAGATTCATCTAAAAGAAGCCTCAAAGCTATTCTTCATCATAGGAGCCAGTATGTATCAGTACCAGTTGGACACTCAGTATATTTAAAAGAATATTACGAAAACCTGGCTCTCGTCCTGAACAAAATAAAATATATCGATCACAGTTGGACGCGGTGATTTGAAAGTTATCTCCATGCTTCTTGGTTAACAAGGGGGATTTATAAAGCACCTATGTTTAATTTGTGAGCGGGACAGCCGTGACAAGACTCAACATTGGCTCACAAAAGAAAGACCGAAAAGACAATATATTGACCCAGGTACCAAGAACGTTATTCGAAACAGCTTAGTTGATCCGAAAAAAGTATTGTTACCTCCGCTACATATAAAATTAGGTGCAATGAAGCAGTCTGTCAAGGTGGTTCCAAAACATGGCAATTGTTTTAAATACCTGTGCAAAAAGTTTCCAGGTTTATCCCAAGCCAAGTTGAAAGAAGGAATATTTGTTGGTCCAAATATCCGCAAACTCATGAAGGATAAAGAATTTGAGACTAACATGACAGAAACGGAAAAAGAAGTTGGGTTGCTTTCAAAGATGGCGTCAGTAAATTTCTGGGTAATTACAAGGATCCTGTTTATAAAGAAATTGTAATGAAAATGCTGGACAAATTTAAAACGTTAGGTTGCTCCATGAGTGTAAAAATGCATTTCCTTCACTCACATGTGAACAGTTTCCCTGAAAATTTAGGAGCAGTCAGCGAAGAACAAGGGGAAAGGTTCCATCAAGATATCAGAGATATGGAGCGTAAATATCAAGGAAGATGGGACAAGAACATGTTCGCTGACTACTGTTGGATGATAGCTCGGCTTAAACCTGAGATCAAGCATAAAAGAAGATCATCAAAAAAAAGTTTCAGAGGAAAACGAATATAAACTTAAATAGAAACTTTTCTCTTTTGTTTTTTGCTTGTTTTGTTTTTTGTTTCAAACTTTCATATGCACATACACAATATTTGTTATTGCACATCAAATAACATATAAATCAATAATAAATTCTCTTGTATTTTTCAAAAAGTTCAATTTTGCAGGCTTGTGCTATTAAAGGAAGGTACTTCACAATCTAGTAGATTATTTATTGTATTTAGCAAGATAAATTTTGTTATATACAAAATGATCAACAAAAGATATATTGAAAAAATACTTTTTATTGCAGGAATAAAGACCAATATTTACATATTGGCATATATCTGTATTATAAATTAATAAATTCATAAAAGAAATTATACATTATTACATCATGAACACCCTTCTAAGTTTTAGAATGTTTTACGAAGTTTTTTGATAGTTTAAACCAGTTTTTGGCATCAAACGCAAAAAGGAGCTTCACAATAATTTAGCCCAAAAGCTTTTCATTTGTAACCGCATGCAAGGGAAATTACACAATAACAATTAAACTTTTCTAGTACTTTTATGGACAAGCAGAGATACCTACAAAATTGTACTATCTTGAGCTAGCAGTTTTCTCACCTATAACACTAAAACCAATTATTGTTACAGAGTATCTGCTACATTTTAGATTTTCAAATTCATGATTTTCCAAGACTAATTTTAAGAATTTTTCAGGACTTAACAAAGTTACTATTTTCTCGGACAAAAACACAACAAAAAAATTTAAAAAAGCATTATAAAAACGTTCACTGAAATGATAGGTATAACCAAAACTGTTATACTCTGCATCTTCATATTTATAGATTTTAAATTTCAAAAACAGAGTAAAGAAAGAGTTGAAGCAATAAAATAGCTGAAAAAAATACAAAAGTGAATAATTTTTTTCTTTTTTTTCCCTGCAGAATTACATTCTAAAGATACTTTTCTTGCTTATCGGAAAGAAAGAAACTCCTGATTTTTATGTTCCCATTTCGGAATAAAAAAAATTTGCCTGTTACAGGCTTGCCTTAAGCTAAAATTTTAAATTGATAAAATAAAAATAAATAATAACAAATATTCTGAAATCACAGAAGTTTAAAAAAAATTCACTCTAAAAATGTTTTTTCTTTCATTTTTTGAAAGAACACCATAATTTTTAAAGAACACGATAAAAACATTTCATATTTTAATCAAATATGACTATGAGTGGGGATTTTGTTACAAATTCAGATATTCGGAACACCATGAAATTGGGGGGAGGGGGTAAATTCCATTTTAAAAATTAGATTTTTCAGCGACCTAAATCCATGACTTTCCATAATTTTTTTAAAAAATATTTAAAATCATGCCATTTTATGACAAATTTTGTTCAATACCAAAATTCATGACTTTCCATGATTTTTTATGACTTTCCAGGTGCGCGGATACCCTGTTGTTATCACCATGCATTTATGTTATTTCATTTTTGACATGGCAACTTTAATTTTTAGCTATACAACTTTATGCATTAAAATATTTCGAGTAAAATAAATACTAAACAATAAACTATGTTTTGATTTGTTCAAATTAGAAATGATTCCGTCATTTAAACACCTTTTTCGTTCTTTGTATACCAAATAGCAAAAAAAAAAGTTCAAATATTATATAACCATGAATATAAGAGAAGACAAAGGTTTAAGATTACTTATTCTTTTTGACAAACAGAAATGAATGCAGGTGCCAATTCTAATGCTTTTAAGGAAGATTTTCCATAGTTCATGTAAAAACATTAAACTGAACAAAAATGGTTTCAATTTCATTTTAAAACCTATCATATGATATCATTCGAATAGTTGGAGGTCAGAGTTTTCAAATTTATTAAATCTAGGATCAAAAAATGAGAAAAAAATTTAATACTAGGAAAAATCTTCTCAAAAATTTAAAAAAAAATGGTAGTATAATTGATATGAAGATATAACTCCTCAAACTGAAATAACATAATAATTTCAATTTAAATTAGGGTAACTACTAACAATAACCTTCACTTTTGTTTTGCTGCAAGAAATGGAGCATTTTCAATAACTCAATTAAAAAGTTTATAAATCAACACTTGAGTCAAACAGGTTCATGAGCAAAAATTCACAGTAAATAAGCATAAAAAAATTTAAAAAGGTTAAATTACATAATTCATCACTAAATAAAATTTTTAACTTATTTTTTGAAATTAAAACAGTGAGAAATTGGCTTGCATACCCTTTAAGAGAAATTCATTAGTTAATAAATTTTGAATAATTGCAATACTCTAATTTTTTATTGAGTCTTTCTTAAAATGTTGAAAATATTTTTGTATCAACTTTGTTTGATACTCGATTTTTAACTTTTTCTAGAACAGAAATCTGAGCAAAGTTGCAACTTTTTCATGTACTCTCTATGATCAAAATATACTCATCATTGCTGCTTTCTATTACTTGTCCCTAGTTTTTTTTTTTCATAACGCATTAAGCTGCTTGATTTGTATGGATTAATATTCCAGAATAAAATCATAAGCATAAACATTAATCATTTTTTAAGACTTTGCTACTCATTTATAAAAAATAGAATATTTTCTCATCATAAATTTTGATATCACTTTTTACACAAATTAAATTCTTTTTGTGATGGTGGTTGTTATGATGGCTATGAAATACACAACAATCAAGTGATTGGAATCAACAAGTGTACAAGTTTCACATTTTCACATATAGTATATTTTTAAATTAATAACTTAATATTGCAAGGAACAGTAGTCAAAAAATAAACTAAATCAATTTTTTGAAGAATGGACATAAGAAATTATGCTTTTTAGATACAATCTAAGCGAGTATTATTTATAATATTAACTAATTCCTAAAAATGATATGCTTTTGTCTCAGAGACAAGGTGACACGGCGACTTAGCTGCAGAAACTAAATGTTTTATGAAATAATAAAGCAGAAGTTGTGCAGAAATATATGAAAAACTTGCAGAATGCTTCAATGGAATGTGAGTATATGCTAAGTTGCATTGAGCATGGGCAAAAGAATTATTATTTTTTTTAGTTTGATAACAATATAATCAGATATAACTTGTTTAATTCAATTACAAAGAATTTGGCACAAACCATCTCAGATAGCATTTGTTTTCCATAATTGCAAACATGGATTATTGAATTAATAAAAAAAATCAAGAAATAACATTTTCAGCAAAAAATTTCTTTTATCTGAGTGTATATTTCAGTAAAAATAGACACTCGTTAACTAATATTAAAATAGAAAATAAAGCAGTACATTAATGTACTTAAAACAATGTGAGGATAAAACAATGCAAGCTAATGATATATTACGCATCTAATTTTAGCTAAATAAAAACAAATATGATAACATTATTCACAACTTTATAATCAGTGCAATTTAGATTCAAATACAAGCAGAAAAAGGTCTAAAAACTTGTTATCTATAACTAGCATAAATTTTTATATCAACAAATTAAAATAAACATGCATCGTATTATCAAATATTTTTTATGATAAGAAAAACAAAGCTATATGCATTAAAATGTTAAAATAAAAATAGCAAGCTGTGGAGCATAATTTAGAGCAATAGTTTAATGCATCTACAATAAAATTTCAAAAAATAATTTAAATTAAAAACTAAGTTTGCTTCTTAAAATTTATATTAAATAAATATGCTAGAATATATGTTAGCTTACTAAGATAAGCAGAGAAAAGGGATTTTATATCATTTTTTTATTCTGAGGGATTAACAATACCTTCTGGTATGTGTGAAGACATGAAATTATTGAGTATTGAAGATGGTCTAGTGTCTGAAGGTGTGGTTGCCCTTCGCGAAGGTAGTAGAGATCCAGCATTAGATGTAATAGCTAAAGCAGGTCCTAACACTTGCTCCACAATTGAAGCAGCAAGCCTTTCAGTACTCAAAGAATTTAAGTCTGTAAATATTATGTTTTTATTGTTTAAGACATGGGTGGTACCCAAATATGGAAAAAAAATTATAATGCATGAAAAGCATTTAGACATTCCGCGATAAAACAAACTATATTTTAAGTCAACTAAAGACATTAAGGCTACACATGAAGAATCCTGAAATTCCTAAAACAAGAATAATGATTACATTGACACACCAAGTCACAAGATTAGACTATTGAGCTAATGCTAAAGAATTTGATTTAACTCTGATACTCTAAAAATGAATGAACCCATCAAATAAATTCGGCATAATAGACATAAAACTGGGTAGTAAGAGTTTTTATCTTAATAACTGCCTCATTAACATTAGTTTACTCGAGTGCATAGCAAATACACTGCAAAAAGAACAATTTAAAGATACATCTGAAATTTACACACCTATTTGATTATAAAAGTTTAAAACAAAGAATTGTTTATTGAAGCTCAACTTAGCATTTAAAATCCTAAAATAATCTAATTATTAATTCAAATGGTCAACAGAAAATTTAAATATTCAGAGAACAAAAAGTCACCCACCCAAAATGATTTTCAACACTATGCTATGTGTGTGTTTGTGTGGATATATATATATACAGTGTAACGTCCCATATCCGGACGTCCCTTTCCCGGAAGGGTCGATTTCCCGGACACTTTTTAACAATCAAAATAAACAAACATCTCTCCATCTTCCCCTTTCCTAAAAAAAAAAAAAAGTCTTTTGACACATTTTCTCTTTTTCTAACTTGCACTGAACCTCTGATTAATGCATCCAACCCATCAATCACCAGAAAGGGGAAGTGAAGATCTACCAAGACCATTGAGTGACCGTTAGTGACGCTCTTCCCTTGGAATGTAGGAAAAAGAGGGAGATTTGTTTTCAAAAGACCACAACTGAGTCCCCTCCCCCCCCCTCCTTTCCCAAGCAGGTGGCTAGTAAATGAGGCATTTCTTGGAACCTTTTTAATGAAAGAAGAAATACTGGGGAAAAGGGTAGACGGGGCAAGCGTTAAGGTGGAGGGGGCGTCAAAATGGAAAATTTGAATAGGTCTAAAAGGATACACGTCCTTGAGAAACAAAACATTCGTTCTTTCCCATACCATGTATTATTTAGGAGGCGGGGGAAAAGGGGTTAGCATTCTTTCTTTAGCAGATTCTTTCAGTCATAGAAGAAAAAATAAAGAGAACACGATCAGCGTGCTCCGCCTTTATGCTTGATTGATAGCCAATGATTGGAGAGAAAACAATAATTTGTTACTTCCCCACCCTCGACTTAAATGATCTCCTCTTTACAATTATTTTCTTTCACAAATAAGGAGGAAATGAATTTTTCTCCTCCACCTACCCACCTTAATGAATGACGGGAATTTCCCTTTCTTGCTTGAATCATTCTAGTTAAAAATGGCGGATTATTATTTTCATATGTCAATTTTTTTTAGTTTTCTATATTTTAAGCAATAATATTTTTTTTCTAATATTTCATATTTTATTGATTAGATATTCTAATACTAAAACATTATTCCCCTTAAAAATAATGTTTATTTATTTTTTGCTTCTTAGATTTAGATCATTTTAAGCTTTGTTCCAGAATGACATGAATTTCCCCTTCCTGCTTGAATTGTTCTAGTTCAAAATGGCGGATTAATATTTTCA